AGCATTTGGTCAATTTTGTTAAATGTAAAAATTAGCGTCGGTTCTTTAAAAAAGCTGGGCTGATAATCTGACTGAGTACTCAATACTGTAAAAAAATTTGTTCTAATAATGGAAAGATCGTTTACTAAGGCTGCTATTATTATTGCTCGCTGAAGTAAGTGAGTGTTTAAGCCTTTATCTCGCAAACGCGGGACAATCGAGAAGGAAGTGTTGAGATGTTTTCACCCGTCTTCTCTGATACAGCTTCTGCAGCTGGCATCCGGTGAGATTCTCAGACTTACAGCATGGACACAGTTAGAGTGAGGATAGCTTTACTGAGAGCAAAGAGCTCATTGGATTTCTTAGGATTGATTTTGGGCCACGCAGGGTTAGTGACCTCAAGGCTAGTATCGCCGCCCTGCTATCAGAGTGATAACTACCGCTACCTGAATGACAGCAACCTCAGCTTAAAAAATACTGCAGTAATCTGGAAATCTGAAACTGAAATTGTTAGACAGTTCCTGAGAATATACCCCTCGACCAGCCCATAGGTATGGATAAAAAAAACTCACAAATCACAAATCAACAAAGCGCTTAGAGCCTGCCACAAACCGAAATGCTTCAACCTTAGTCTGGCGTAAGGTGTGAAAAATAAAGTATCTAGATGTTGTCATCTCATCTTCCTTTTTGCAACTTTAACAAGTTGCGTCCTCCAAAATCTTTAGCCTCAACGCGTGAGTTGCTTGTTAAGAGCTAGTAGTTCACTGGATACTTTTACTCTGGGCCACAAAGCTTTCACAACCCCACAAGTGCTGGTAGCTGACCAACGCTTCCTGAGCTCGCGCGAAGCCCATAGATCCGATGCCAGTTCTCAAAAAGACAGGGGCACACCAGTTTGTTCCTATTCTGATCGGATTTGGGCAAGTTAGCCCTTTCTTACAGGCGAGCTCAAGACTTGTATAGCGGTTCTGCTATCGGAGTGAATGCACAACTCCCTGAAAGAAGCCACATTAGCTTTCTTAATTAATTTTTATATAAATATAAATTAATTTTGTGCAGAAATATTAAAAATTATATCTAATCCTTATTTGAACTTCAATTACACCCTTCCTTATTTTATATTTATTATAAACGCCTAAAAGCCAACATCAAAATAAACTTACAAAATTCACTGCCGTATTAGTTCTAAGCCATCGAAGTCTCTATTTTGAGTGTACCTAAATCTTTTTCCAAATACCTTTTCTCTTCTACTTACTTACTTCTCTCACTCACATTCAATAAATTCTTGACACGCCTGCATTCACAATTTTTGAACGGCGACTTATTGACAATTGTGCTTGCGAAAGCCGTAAGTGCCTTGAATTGCCTGACGGCGGTATGCAGCTGGAAGAGAATGCTTCCATCGCCCCCCTCGCAATCATTGTGACAAGTCGTGACCGCGCTTTTCACCAAACGTGTGAGTAAATTGCCTCAATATATATCTCTTCGCCAATCAATAGCGCATATTTGCATGCATGTATGTACCGTTTATATTGGTATATGTATATGTATGTATGTATGTATGTCGAGTATATTTGTATGCATATATATACGTATGCGAATGTTGACGTGCATATGTGCCATTTCCCCAATATTTTGCTTGTTACCTTTTGTCTTTCATTCATTTGCATTCGAATATGTATATGTATTTATGTATACATGTGTGTGTGTTTATTTCGATTTGTGTATGGCTGTTAAGCTTCTGTAAGCGCTTTATTGACATGTCAATAATTTCTTGCTGTTGCAGCTGCTCTGTCAATCCAACGTTTTACGCCATTTCAATTGCATGTTTTCCTTTCTTCTCTTCTTCTTTCTATTGACAGCGAACGTTGACATTACTAAAATTGCACATATATTTGTACAATGTGTGTCTTATGTTGCCAGTTTTCCACATACATGTTCACATGTATTGTTGTAACATGGGCAGGTTAGTAGATGAGGATATAAGTAATTTGGTTCTTGCTTTTCAATTCTACGAATTCACAGATTTGTGTGACAGTCATTTATGAGATTTTTGTTTTGGACTTTATTGTAGACAAATTAAGTTGAAAGATTTTTTGCTGTGTCAATAAATTCTTTTTGGAACGATGAAAAATGGTTTTAAACTAATAATAAATGACTTATTAGTGCTCTAGAGATCTGCCCTTATAGATGTATACCATATATATATAACTATTTTCGAACAAAACAAGGAGAACAATACTGGACAACAGTTCGAAAGAAATTGACAGTTTTTTAACTCAGCCATATTTTCTATAAACTTTCCTCCTATCAAAAGAAGCAAAGGTTATAATGGCGCGATAACGGTCAAGAAATATGGACTGATGATACCACCGGCACACAAACCACACCAAACCGTTATTTATTCTGGATGACATGGCAGCTATTGAATCTCTTCAGCTTACTCTTCGACCCAAATGCGGCAATTTGCTTGTTTATGTATCCATTGAGCCAGAAATGGGTCTCATCGCTAAACAAAATTTGGCTCGAAAACATCGGATTTTCTTGGAGCTTTTCAAGAACCCATAGAATGACACGATTTCGCTTGATAAAGTCGAGCGGCTTCAGTTCTTGCACAAACTTTATTTTGTACGCTTTCAATTTAAGTTCTCGACGTAAAATACGCCAAGTCGTTCCATACGTCAGTCCGAGTTGCTACGAACGGCGCCGAATCGGCTCTGCATGGTCTTCGTGTACACTTTCAGCTACGGCCGCTTTATTTTTCTTCACTACGCGCTGGACGTGGTCTATTCCATCGAATATTATCCAATAATGGGCGCTGGGTCTCAAGATGGGTGATGGTGTTGCGAATAGTACGCTCAGTAGGCCGATTATGTTGATCATGAACGTGAATTTTCGAAATGATGAAATGCCAAATAATACTGAACAAAAATAACATGATAGCTTGACACGACTCCCGCGTGATCTGTTAAAAAGAGGCTATTGAAAAAAGTACCTCTACTTATATCACCCGTTATAACTTTTGTATATTGACATTTTTCGCATAACCTCAAAATATATGTGAAAATTTCAAATAAACAAGTTTTTGGGTTTTTTATTTTTATCTTCTTCAAAAATTTTTTTTTGCACAAAATTTGATGTAAACTTAACTTTTTATGCCCTAAGCACACTATATTTTCTATTTTAAATATTTTTCTCCTAATATTGAAAAGAAATTTCAATTTTCAATCAAAAATTCTCATGTCAAAATTTGAAATTTTTTTTAATTTTTTGTTGTTTTCGCAATTGAAAAATCCGCTTCGGGAAACACGCCATGAGTCCATTGACTTAATATACCTATAATAATCGCCACACACACTTTTCGTTTTGTAAGCAATCAGCTGCCAGACACACATTAATTTCAACACGCACAAGAACAAAATACATTTTATACTCTTGCAACTGGCAAGAATCAAAGCCAAATCAAATAATTTTAGGCGCATAAGGTCTGTTAGAATAACGTAAATAATTATAAGATATATAGTATTTGGGAGTTTGGGTAATTTGGGTAATTTGTAGGCCAATTTCACATATTTTCGACATTAAACTGTAGAATATCCAATATTATACGTTCAGTCAATTTTGCTAAGTTATCTTACTTATTTGCCGATATATGCGATATAAAGTCTGTCGGAAGCTTGAACATCTTTCTATTAGATATATGGGAGCTAAGGGAAATATTGACCCGATTCAACCCATTTTTGACATACAGACATATTATTATCAGAAAACGATTCTCTCCTTATCTATATAATATATCTCACAGATTAACCGCTATTTTCGACAAAAAGTTTGCAATAGGAACTGTGGCCCACATATTCGGTATCTAGGTGCTTGATAGTTGTAGTCCGATTTGGACAATTTTTTTTAAGTGCAAGAATCAGATGGAACTAAAAATTGTGTTATATGGGAAGTAGACTTGGTTTCCGTCTGATTTCGCCCATTTTCGCACTATAATATTGGAATGTCAGTATAATATTTACTACTTGTAAGACAAAAAATGCATATAATTTAGTGTTATGACTCAAAATTAAAATTTCTCATAAAGATAAGGGCTTGTCATTGTCGGCTAGCTCGATTAAATTCCAGCTCAATTTTTGATTACTTTTTGCAGCAATTGAGGCCATATGCCAGCAATAACCCGCCGAATATTCTCTTCTAAGGCGTCAATCGTCTCGGGCTTATCTGCGTAGACAAGCGATGTTACACAAACTCAGAAAAAATAGTTCATCTGTGTTGAATTGCATGATCTTGGAGACCACGCAACAGGCCTACGATACAAGATAATGCGCTCACCAAAATAAATTGATTGTTTCGTTGGCTGCATGGCATATAGCGGCGTTTTATTCAAACCAACGGTTTTCCACATCAACATTCTCCAATTTAGCCACGTAATAGTCACTAAGCGTGGCTCTAGAGGTGTTCCCAATTCACTGTAAGACAACAATAACTTTTTTAAGAAATATGAACCCCTCTAGTCTCAACAATGGCTTGTGGATTATCAGTAGTCCCAAACGCGATAATTTTGTTGTAAGCTGTCAAATAAATCAATTTCGAAAAAAGTGTTGTCTCACTGAAAACCACGCGTCTAAAAAAACACCCTATACATATCGTCAAACCAAAGAAATACGAGAGCCTCATCTAACATAAAGCCGTAGAAAACTATCGTCTAAATATTTTCATCATTTAATATATTTTTTATAAGTATCATTCCGATTTAATTTTGCATTACAAATGAGAAACTCTACGATAACAATGTCATATTTGACATTTCCACATTAGTGCTGCCATATAACATTTCGTTTAATCGAAACCTTCTCCTTGGATAGTGGGACGCAGCTAGCATTGCCCATTTAAAACTATTTTGAAATATTTAGCAGCACTGTAATTCCAAAATTTGTAAATATTTCTTTAGTATAAGCCTATATTTCTAAAACTATGATTAAAAACTATTTATCACCATTGTCATGCTTTATTTTTAGCACAATGTCACAGCAGATTGGTTGCAAGAGTGTCACTGATGAAAATAACTTTCATTTGGCATTGCTATAATTACGTAAAAATATACGAAGTAAAATGACGTCAGAAACCTATTTGGATTTGACCTTTGACCGTAGTGGAAAGAGTGGTAAACGTGCAATTAGACCAAAATTGCTGAAACTAACGGATGTCACGATGCCGCATCGCAGTCGAAAAAAGACTAAAGTCAAGGTGAGTTAAATATAGCATACTAAGTATTATAGAAATAAAAATGACTGGTGTGATAACCAAAAGAAAAAAATAACAAATTTTTAATGATATAATAATCACAGCGATATCTATCCTTCCAGTCGTTAGTAGAAATATTTGCTCTCCAGGTGTATTTTATTTCAAATTTAAACAAATTAAACAAAAAATGCGACTGTGAAAAATATTTTGACAACAGCGACACCTGTCAACCAGCTGCTATTAAGAATATGTCACTTTATTGAATTTAGTGAATTATTTACTGTTTTCAAGTTTCGCTTACACATCTAACTCTTTTGACCTTGGCTTTTCTATGACTGAACGCTTTTCCATCATCCATCATCGTCACGAAGTCCTACCTCCGATTCGTAACCATATATAAAAAGTGCTCTAAGTGCTAAAAGTATCATGTATTATATAATAGACTCTTGTCATTGTGTGTTAAAGTTACCGTTTTTCTTTGGTCTCTCTCTCTCTCTCGCCCGTAAAACAAAAACTAAAACTTTCAATGGCAAATAACAAAATCAAATTTCAAATTTAATATATGCAAAATTCTCCACCTACTTTACACAGAGCTTCTCTAAACTGGGCAAGAAGAGCAGGCCCAGGTTGTTTGTAATCATTAAAAATTAATTAACACACAAAAGTTGCCTCTTGCTCGTTTATCAAGAGAAAGCGATATTTTTCAACGTAATTTAAGACAATAGCTTTATACTACAATACTCGTATACTAAGAATGCGCACAAAAGAAGTGGAACAGGCTAGCAGTCTACATGTTTATCGAAAGCACCAGCTGCTATTGGAGTCCTTATTTTTGTTTTCAACCGCAGAAAAGATGATTGATTTAATGTTTAAGGTTTAGTATGAGAGTATCTGATGGAAAAGGAATTTCTGAGGTGAGACATGAGACCTTTTTTGAGGAAATAAATATTTGGCTCTTTTTGAATCGAAGATGACATGACAAATAATTAAGGTTCTTATCAATAGTATTAGTTCTAACCACCACAGTTACCAAATTTATTCTAAGAGTGAAAACTTGTTTTTTATTTCCGCTACATTATATAACTTTATTTATTCCGTGTACAAAATATTTCGTTATAACCTAACCTAACCTCAAAATTTTATACGGTAAAACAACGAGGTTAAATTCGAAAATCGGATAAGGGTTTGTTTTGAGAAACGACTGAAGCTATAATTCCGCAAACAGGTGCAGGCTACGTAAGGTGTTTTAGCCAATAATCCATGCCATCCGTGACAGAGGATATCGAGACATGTGGTGACGGATTGATGAGGTCGACGGGGGGTGGTATTGTACAAGGACACTGAAATTCAGATTGATTCTACATTATTTGAATTTTATATCTAAAATAATATTCTAAGTAAGTTCTAACTAAGCAAAACCCAAAAGTACAGACCGCATATAAAGGTTTCTCAAAAGGTCTTTCACAGACTTGTAATGCCTTGCGATAGTCGCAGTATGATAACAGGTCGCATAAAAACTCCATTTTCAACAAACTGTAACTTAGAGTTTAATCTCGGTTACAGTTAAGCAAGGGGAGAGCGATTATGGACTACTCGTAGGTGATCCGTAGGAAGTAATACAATCTCCACTGCAAAGAGAGTTTAACACAAATCTCTGCAAAACAAGCCAATCCAATATATACCTAATACCACTATTAAAGCTTAATACCGAAAGTTACACGAACACTTACTGTATTAAATATTTACTCCAGTAATATGTGAATTTCTTGTTTAACAAAAAAAAAAAAAAAAAATGGAGGAGTTTTATTTCCCTGCAGCTAATATGTTTAGAAGGAACGACCTACTTCGCTACATGGAATCCCTCTTAAGTAATCACTTTAACTTTCTGCTTTACCTGTTGCCTTGTGTGCTCCAACACGGCTTGGCTTGCATTTACTTCCTGCTCACACCGAGCATCCATTAAGTTGGCGTTCACAAGGAATTTACAATAGCCAATTTGCACAAGCTCAACACACGCACACCAGGCTACAACAGCGTTGCAGAGGCACTGTGCTGGAAGATCGTGCTATGCTTCAATTAGAATTTTTAATTAAGGCTAGTCACGTTACCGCTGCCCATCTGCCGAACGTTGCTCCTTTATGTAGCGCAATCTAGGCGTCACTCAGTCTGCGTTGTTGCGCTCTACCAGTGCGAGTGCGAGTATTACGTGGAGTATGAATTACGCTTGCGATTTCATTTGTTCATTTCTTCGTTAGTTAGATTGTTTTGGTCTTAGCGTAAATTTACATTTATTTCTTATGCATAGAATATATTTACAACGTTCGTACTTTAGGGTGGTACTTATAGGTATTTATGTTAGAAACTGATGAGAGAAGATAACTAAGGGTCCGGTGAGGTTAGGTTAGATGGCTGATACCTTAAAAAAGCGGGAGAGCACACTCAGACTTTCCGTACGGTCCTTTGTGAAGCCATACGAAAAACTCCTGTAGTTGGATATCAGCTATCGGCAAAAACGCTCTGAACCTTACAGAAATCTACTTATTTGTTTTATTTTTATTTCGCTATTTCACCTGTATGTCTAAAAGTATGAAATCCAAGGTGTTTTTGTCTTTATCTGGCAAAAGCGAGACATTCGAAGAGGAAGTGTTGTGACGATTCTAGCTCATCTTCTTCTGAAGAGCTAATGCAACTGGCATCCGGTAAGATGTTCAATCTTCCTACAAGAATCCCGACCGGACAGTGTCTAATTAAAACTCTTACAACCATTGATAGGTGGACCTTGCTCACAGATTTACCCTATTTACCCTAGGCTAGAAGGACCTTGCAAATGCACAGCTGCTGGTAGTTGACCAAGGCATGCTGAGCTGGTCTGAGATTCTCTGACTCTGAGGGCAGTTTTCGTAGTCGTACACCTTGCGGCTATTTCCACTGGTGTATATGCAACAAGACATTCAGTGCCATAGTTGGATTGGAGTGATGAGAGCAGCCCGTTAAAGACTCGCCAATTGCTTCGCGAGTGTAGTCTTTTTCAGCGTCTTAAGCCAAGCAAAAGTTCCGTAGAACATTATACGCTTAACTATGGTTTCATAGACCCAAAGAACTACCTTTGGTGAGAGTCCCCAGCTGAGAGTCAGAATCTTTGTTTATGAGCAATATGGGCTTATGCCCTAACATGTCTGGGGCAGATAACGTCTAACAAAATGCTCAATAGAGCTTGTAAAGCTTTCAGCTACCATTCAACCCAAGTAGTTTTTATAATTAACGATGAAAAATCGACTGGAAGAAATTCCAGTAAAAGTCATAAGATAAAACTGACTTCAAATAAATTATCGTCACTAGCAAATGAAATATGGAATCTATAATGCTTTCTAAAGTAAATTACAACAAAGATATGTAGGAAGCATTATAAACGACAGAAATAATAAACAGAATCAAAAAGTCCTTGGGTTCCTGAAAGTATTTATTTGAAATATATAATACTTAATGGTTGAATATTTCAAGTTGAGAATCTGTAAAATAAATGTTGAAATTGCGTACTCAGTATTTTGGGATTAGTTCCCTTCAATGCGAGGATCAGCCCTGGAACCTATCCTAACCTGATTTTGTTTTATAAAGGATCTATTTATTGACACTTTTAGATCCATTGTGGATAAAAATGGAAAACTTGACGAATTTAAATGATTGTTGTTGTTGTTTTGGTTTAAAGTTAATGACAGTTCCGATGATTATAAACAGTACTACCAGGGTGGCGCCAGAATTCGAAAGCAAAGCTCGTTGCATTATCTTATAGTTTATACCATTTCTTTCTGGGTCAAATTCGATCAGATATTATAGAATATGCATGATAGTTTTAGCAATGTAACGGTTGTTATAAATCCCTAAAAGAGTCGATGTGAATATAAGCTCATTGTTAAAATTTATGAAATAAGTTGACATTTCGATATTCGTTAGTGTGTTCTTGATACATACATAGTACACGTAGCGTGCAAGATTTCTAACCAGCCTTGAAGGAACTCATGGCTTTATTGTATTCAGATATACATCGCGGTTATGGTGATAGAGAAGAAGCCCCCCGTAGTTATCTCGGCAATGCAGTTATCTGAGTTTATGAAATTTCAAAGGCAATTTTACCCGCAGCGGGATTACTAGGGATATGATCATCGAATAAAGGTTTCAGTAAGGATCGTTTGTCAAGATACAATTTTAACCTCTTGAAAATACACTCAAACGGGATGATTTATGGTACCCTTGGACTTGAACACTGGTATCAATTGTACCGTAAAAGAGAGTCGAACGTTTCTGCAGTTTAGGTTCCTATTCGTATTCCTGAGTTTACTTTAGGGTTTGCTAAGTGGGTGTCCGGTAGGTAGGGTTTCCTAGGTTAGGGTTTACTTTAGGGTTTCCAATACTTAAGTAATTAAATAAATAATTAGAGCATGGAATCATCCAATCCGATAACAAAGATGGGTAGGGCAAAAACTTTCTACGTTTCTGTCATGTGCGACACCTTCGTAACATACTATAACTACTAGGTCCTCATTAAAGTAAAATCCAAAGAGTCACTCAACCCTAAATTTGATATTATAGCTTCCTCGAGATGGTCGGTACGTGTCCATAAAATTTTGGACCACCCTAATGTATGCATAATCTCTATAATAACAGCTTATTTACAGGCTTGTGTTGGAAGTGCATGAAATATAAGTCGAACAATAGAAATTCCCTTCGGACAATACACCTATATATACATGAATATATATATAATATATTTTTATATTCATATACACTCACATATTCATACGCGCCGACGTCACATATTTAATTGTGCAACACCAGTGATTTAATTTAAAATTTGCTTACTTTCACCGCACACTGTTGGCTCAACGATAATTAATCACTGTAATGAGTGAGTATTCACTACCGAACACAAGCGAAATTCAAAAAAGAACAACAACACCAATAAATAAAGTAAAATTAATAAGTTACGTGCAGCTTTTGCGGTTGCGAGGGCGTATTGTGAAAATGTTTTTAAATAGAAATTTCAAGCACGGCGATTAAGTAATTATTTGTGTTGGATTTGGCTCATTTCATACACCTAGATATATGTATATACTTATGTGCATGTGTGGACAAAATCACTTAACGACTACCGTTACTTAAGTATGTAATTAACGCTATTGATTACGAAGCAAGAATTTGTAATTAAATAATTTAATTATTAATGAATTTTTTTTCACAGACTCAATGAATTTTTTCGTAAATTAATCGCTGAGGAATAATTTTAATTAGTGCTAAGTACCTTCCGAGATTTACGGCTAGTAGCAAACTTTTGAAACTCACTTAAATGATGTGGCAACATTTTAGGAACTAAGAATAGACATATTCAAGTTAAATTAATCACTTGATTCGGGGTCCATACTATAAAGTGAATATATAAGAACCTCCCAACCAAGCTACTGGCGCGTCACTATCGATGTGTGTAGCCTGGCGTTGTTCTGATGGAACACAATTCCTCTCCTATTGATCAAAGCAGGCCGCGTCTGAGCTTTTGCTTATTTCAGACGGTGCAATTGTTGACAGTAGAGGTTCGAATAAAGAGCTTAGTGTTTTGGGAGCAGCTCATAATAGATGATTAATTGGCAATACCACTAGGTACACAGCAATTTCTACCTGACAGTCAACCTTTGGCTTAGCCACCATTTGTGGTGGCTGATCGGAATTCAACCAGAATCATTTTCGCTAGACGTTGTCATAAGTGATACACGTTTCATCACCAGCAAACATCCGCTTCCAGAATCGCTCGATTTTGTTGCGATTCAGCAGCGATTCGCAAATAGAAATTCGGACCATATGATGTTTTTTTTTTTGCTTAAACTCGTGTGTGATGAATTAGAAATAAATACAATACAAATTACTAAAGCCATTTAATTGAAAAATAATTGAACTCCTTTTACTAGTCATATTATATTATAATCTTCAGATGTCTCTGAAGTATAGTGCCAAGATTTGATCATGCAATCTGAATGGTCAATGTCCGGTTAGATATCATTGCACCTTTTTAGTAGGTAACTTGATGAGCAAAGTAATCTACTTTAGGGTATTTAATAAATTTCCTAATGCTGTCACGCTACTTTGGATCTTTTGAGCTTGATTACACCATAAATTCGATAGCAGCTGTCTTCGATTCGCCACTTCTCTGCTCGCTTCTGCTCTCATGACATGAAAAAAAATTACATGTAAAAGCGACAACAAAGTTATCAAGTTGAATACAAAAGAGTATGCGGATACCTAACTAAATTGGTTTAGTCGTTATCTTCAATGCTACCAAGTTTTGTTTTGCATACTATTTTAGACCAGTTTTACTATTGTGAATGGTTCAAATGACAAATATCCTTTTTTCTTGTATTTTCAAAATATAATACTTTAAATTAATTATAGTAATTTATTCAATCAAAAATAAAGGGTTACTGCACCGTTTTTCAACGCGAAAAAAGGAATTTCTCTACTGAGCAAGAATCATAACACTATTGCGCATGCGTCAGAAGCCATGTTAGCGCAGGGTTGCAACACGAGTGCTGCCTGTTTAGCTATAGTTTGATCGATTCGCTGTAAAGTAATGCTTGGCTAATCGAAGACAGCTTGTAGTACTGTTATACTGGTTAGAATAAGCAGAGACAATAATCTCATGTCTAATTGCATTAAAGTACCTGTTTAGGAATGAAGGAGAGCTACGTCGTGAGGTCTATTATTGGACGGTTGTCATATGTCAGCTATGGACAATTGCTAGCAATTCATTGGTCGGAAGTACCTTATGCTGTGGGTGTAAGGTCTAGCGAACTGCTTACTCTCTGTTAGGTTTGTCTGTTTATAATTGTAGGGGTACCGAGACCAGTATCCGATTGACATCCATTTCAGAAATTATTTGGAATATAGTATGGTAAAATTTTCTTAGCATTTCCTTTCTCACTGTTTTGATTTTACAACTTTAAAGTTAGAAAACCTTGCCTCCCACTTGTCATTCTGGTGAACTTGATAGAATCGAATTTAACGTATGGGCACATTTACAATGGTTTTAAAATACATCCAATTAACAGTTATGTATTGTTCATAATCTTTAAACTATTTATTCATATATTCAGAATTTATTTCGAGTTGTCAACTTGATGAATTTTCCCTAATCTCTTTTGCCTCGTTTAAAAGGAGATTTATATAAAACTCAACTATTTAGAAAGAATTTCATAACAAACTGCAAACGATTGCCAATCACTTCTAATATCCAAATTGGATAGAAATAAAAACCATTATCGCAAATGTTATCTACAAACTTCCAACAGAAGTGGGTTACTCATACGCCTTGCGCAACTTCATGGCAGCGCGATACAAAAACCAAAAACGAGACAATATAACAATATTTCATATGAATATGCCTCGAATGGCTGGCTATAGAATTTCGTAAACAAAGGCGCGTCATGTGGCAGGTGGCAGGTATGGCAGCTCTATGTTTCTATGGCGTGCGCCAATACTTGGCATAAAAATGCTTTTAACGCTAAGCTGCTTTTTCTTTGCTACGCTGATATGCGATTGTATAGTTGTGTGAGTGTGTTCATTGAACTTTCACACATACATACATATATACATATTCCAAAAGCGTGCAGCCATTCTGTGCTCTCATATTGCATTTACACGCATCGAGTGCGGTTTTTAGCGACAACGGGTAACTTTTCAATCAGATTTCCGTTTCCATCAACGTTTCCGTAACATCGCCAATTCAATGTACGTACAACAGTAGCAACAACAAAACCGAGAGCAAAAAAATCTGAAACGCACGTATTGAATGTGCGGCATGCCACCACATGTGGTCGAATTATTATTGCGATTGCGAGTTGTATGCTTGAATGCTTGAGCGGAAAGAGGCGTTAGTATCGTTTGAAATGTGTATGAATCGCACACTAAGTAGCACGCGTAGTTTAGAGCTTCTATTCGGCTTGAATTTATTGCATTCGCTGACATCGATTGTTTGCTTTTTGCGCAGCATCTGGTAGTCGAATTTTTCTTTGTGGTATTTTTGCACCCTACTTTAGGTCTATTGTGGTCCTGTTGCTTAGTTATACCAAACTCTGAAGGAAGCCGCTGTTGAAGTAATGATCAGAATAATACTATGGCCACATTCCAAAAAAAAAATCGAGGAATAAAGACTTTTGATGGCAATCGTTCTTGAAATAAAATCGCTTTGGAGTCATATTCTCAAATGCACTATGCTATCCGAGGGGATTTAGAGTTTCAAAGTGAACCTCGGATTAGAGCTCCAGCTTCATCCAGTAGTCAGAATAGCGTAATGTGAGATCATCCAGTTAAACAAAAGAAACTTGGATTTTAAATACCTTTTGCTCTCTAGTGAGTAATATGTGCCTTGAACTTATTTCATAGAACAATATGCTAGCAAATCCAGAAGAAGTCTGAGCTGAAGGCTTAAACATAGTTCGTAGACCCAATCCTGATTAAGAATATCATTGCAGCTAAACCGACGTACTTTAAGTAAGGTTACTGCGGAGCCAGAAGTTCTACCGTTATGCTGAAACAATCAATATCCCTCTTTATTGTGAGAGTAATTTGAAACCAAATATGACATTATGTAAGCTGAACTAAGAGAGCTGGAATGTTCGAACTGCGACCAATTCGAACCAAAAGCGCTATTATAAACCTATACTCTATAATTTTAGTAAATCTGGTGTATGTGAGCAAAGTCACTCCCCATTCGTGTGGAACCGATGTAAGACCGCAAAGAAAGCCCAAATTTCCGAACCCCAACCCTATAATTTGGATTACCGCAGTCACTAAGAATATGTAAAGTAATATACTGAATTCCGTGGTTTATCTCACATACTGACCACTGTCTCTCTAATGCAAGCTCACCCGGAAGCAATCAGAATCAGTCGAAGTCAAAGCCAACAGGTAGTAAAACACCAGCTTATGTAAGCTGAACTTAAGGGAGTTGAGATCATGAAACTGGGATCACTTTTAACTCACAAGCCCTAATATAAGTCCATACCCTATAATTTGAAGAGATCTGGGTATTTGCAGCAGAGACATTCCCCCTTCGAAGAGCTCATCGAAAGAGATATTACCAGAGCAGTTGAAAATATCTAGGGTATCAGAAAAACTTCGTTCTAACCGCTTGAAGTTTCAGAAGATATTCAAGTATGTGATTAGAGGCTACATTAAAAAGTCTAGCTATCTGAATCAACTAAAGTAGGGTATCCAAAGTTCGCTTTCACCAAAGTTATGTGCGTTATTTTTCCCATATTTTACACTCATTCGAACTCACCATTGTTCTGTTATCATTTCTCTTTTGCAGAGCAAAGACCGGTCGGTGTCCTCAGTACGTGACCGCATTTACGACGATCCAGCATACACAGACGATATTAGCCACCTCGCGAACCCACTACGACGCAACAGCTGTTCAGGCAAAGCGGACGGCAAAGCGAAATCTTTTGCTAGTGGCAATACGGTGAGCAACTTGACGGCCAGTGCCAGCAGCTCGCTTGGGAAGCGCAGTAAATTATCCAAAGAATTTTTGCAGCAAAATAAATTACGCGATGGTGGCGCGGCCTATGAGCGCGACGCATCGAGCAGTTCAGACGAGCCACTACGTTCAGAGAGTCAATCCAAAAGCGGCGCAACTGCGAGTGCTGGACGACGTGGGCGCAGCCTAGAACGTAGCGCTGCTGCATCGTCGGGGGCAAAGAGCGGTGAGAGGAAACGTGAGAAACGCGAACGCAGCAATAAACAGAAAAGCAATACGTGTATGGAAAGCCATACGCTGACTCAACAAGCTGATATGCAACAAAAACAAGACAGCTATGCCGAAACAACAACCAATACGCATGCGTCAAGTAATCGGCGGTCTAAAACGCAGTCAACCATGATGACCAAACAGTACAGCGATGGCGCTGCAGCCGATTTACAATGGGCGGTCGAGCAGCAGCAAGCGCGCGATGAGATTTCATCTATGCACAGCGGTCCATCTGCGGTAAAGGCTGTTACAGCAACAAGCGCTGCAGGCAGTGTCAGCTCGAAAATGCAAATTGGAAGACGTTTCTTGCGCGGCGAAATCGGCATAAAGAGTTTCAATTACTACTTACTCAAGGAGGGTATTAAGAGCTCGAAGCGCTTTGTGGAGAAACAGCGCAACTCATTCACAAGCGGCTTAGCGAGCGCGGCAAGTGGCGGCAGGAAGACGCACTCACGCAGCGAGGAGAATATCTATGAGGAGATTTTCTTCAAGGATGCGCCACCATCAGATGATGAACAACAGCAACTACAAGAACAACAGCAGCAGCAGCCACCGCCACCGCCGCTGCAGCAAAGTAATAGCGCACATACACAGCTGCAACCGCAAACTCAACAACAGCAACATACACAACATGCACATCAAGGTAGAGGCGCCGATACCCCTATATCACAGTGTAGCGGCAGCGAAGAGGGTGTGTATGCCGACTGTGAACTTTGCCTGCAGCAATGCACCAAAGAGAATTGCGAATATTGCTACGCGCAGCAGGCGTCGGGTGGCGCGGTAGAGCACGGGCAAAGCGCCAGTAAAATACAGCGCGATATGGCGAAACCGTATGCGGTGGTGCCATTACAACAACAACAACAACAAACGCTTAATAAACTACCACAACAATTCGATACTGCCGCGCGGACATTAATCACCCAAGCGCCTAGTGCCGCGCCTGCTGATTACAACAGCTCGAGTAGCAATGGCGGCATGGCGGGCGCACAACTACCAGCCGCACACATACTGGAGTTCCAATCGTACAATCCGAATAATCCGGGCGTTTACAAAATAGAGACAACACCGGTGGCCATTACTGGTGAATACAATCCGATATTGCAATTTCAACAGTCTTCACCGTCAACAGGCACCGCAACAACAACAACACCCAGCATAGAGCTACAGCCTTTGGGTTTAGCGCAACATGCGTCGAATATGGCGCATCAACAACAACAACCACAATTAATCCAACAGCAAGTGAGCTATCAGCCAACAATACACCATCAGCAACAACAACAACAGCAGCAGCACTTGAAACACTCATCCAACAGCTACTTATTGCAAACGGGCGGCGTTGGTGGCGCGCCAACACATCACCACTACCATCAGTCACCAACAGTTGCCACCAGCAGCGCCGGTATACTTATAACACAACAGCGCGCACGCGGTCATCGTATGGGCAGTCATCAACACCAACAACAACACTCACATTATATGCTCACTTACCAAGCGCCTACAATGGCCGCAGGACCGCCCATCTCCGGTGGCGGTGGCATGCAACGCATGAACACCAAATCATCATCGTCCAGCGATTCGTTGCAACAGCACCAACATTTGCATAAATATAACACCATGTCACGCCTCGAAGCGCAGCATGTGCTGTTGGGCGATCCCTTCTATGGCGGCACCGCTATTGGACCGACACATTCTCTCATGTTTGCCGCTAGCCGTCCCATAGGCGGTTCACAGATACTCGTCGATTCGTACGAATTGCCGCAAATGTATAAAAGCGATTCGCGCGCCTCCATACTGAGCGAGTACTCGTTGCGTAGCAGCGATAATTCGCATCGCTACAATCGCTTTCGTTACGCAGGCGGCGGCGGTGGCAGCTTCAGCGGCGTTGCTGGCGGTGGCGGCCAGGTGAGCGATTCCAGTCTGGGGGACTCATTGTTTTCCTGCACCTCCGCGCAGCGTCGCTACTTTGGCAGTTCGGAGAGTTGCCGCTTTGGTTTCGAGTGCCGGCGCTGCAGCTTGGATGGCGGCGAAAAGTGTAGTTTCTCCGACACTTGCCGCTATGAGTGCCGTAACTGCGATTGCTCTTCCAGCTACTTCTCCTCAGATTTCGATGATATGTATGGTAGTGTAGCGGGTGCTGGTGGCTCGGCAGCCGCCTTAGGCGCACAGCGTAGCAGCGGCATACCGCGCAAAACTGCAGCTGGCACGCTGCCCGCAAGCGTTGGGAATGCGGAATATGAGCGCAAGCAGGAACAACTCGATTTGAAGCAGAATAAATATGCGCAGGATTTCTTTAAGCATGTGAATGATGTAAAGCGTAGCATCTACCAATCGGAGATGCAACGCAATGCAAGCGGCGCCGCTGAGTGTGCAGTTAGTAACAAATATGAAAGCAATCGCACTAAAGGTGGTGAACGTAGCGCGGCGTCTACTATGCAAGCGCCAGAAGGTAGTCCACGTCGCTACACCGCCAAAGAAGCGCCGCAAATAACTACACTACCGTTGACTAAAGAGCGCTCTCGCGCAGCGCGCGCCACAGCTGGCACGCATACAGACAGCTCGACTACGCCTACACCAGCGCCTAGAACTAGTTTACAGCAGTCGCAACCACAGCCAACACAACGCGCATCACGCCACGCAACAGCAACCGTTGCATATGAGCGCCACAGCGAATATCCTTCATTGGATCGATTGGTAGCAAGCGCCACGGGCGCCATACCAAAAGCAACAACTGTGTGCTTGCAAAACGCTGGCGGCGGTAAAAACAAAACTAATGCTACCGACACATTGCCAATGACAACCAGTGATATTAATAGCAATAATGATCAACCTATATGCAGCGAGCGTCATAGTCCGCGTCACAGTACAAAGAATTTGAAAATTACCGATCGCCCACTCGGTTTGACTGGCGCGTACGTGCACACCACTGATGCTGATACGGCCAAGGCCAGCGCTCGCAGCACACGTGTCGCCGCTGAGGCGCTCACTAATAACAACAACAATAATAACATCACTGTAGCTAATCACAATGAAACGCCGGTAGCAGCTTTATTGGGCGCCAGCACAGCTGGTAGCGCAGTTTGTGGCGGTAGTGGCGGCGTCGGCTCAATGAAGCGTGAACCACGTTATCTGAGTGTCGAGCATACTACCGGAAGTATACCTGCAGTGCATACTAGTAAACGGCACCACCGCAGCTCTTCCGCCTCCAAGCAATCGTCATTGTCCGTGACGCGTCGCAGCAAAGACATACCGGCGCCACCACCGCCATCGCCAGCCACTTACTCAGATCTGCAGGAATTGAAGGTGAACATTGAGAACGCACAAAAGCCAAAGCAACTAGATGAAGTTGAGTTGAAAAAATCGTCTGCTGAAAGGCGCAAGAAGAAGCATGCCAAAGCAGATATCGAACTGCAACAACAACAACAAGTGAATATAACAAACGCCGAAAGTCAGTCGAAAAGGGAAAAAGAAAAAGATGCCCAGCGCCAGCTGTCATTGAAGACAACTAAGGACGCGCAGTTGGTAGCTGTCGCACAGTTAAGTCCAACCAAAAATGACAAGTGCGACACAGTCAAGGCGACAAAGTTACAAATTCCAGTAACAGCAACAGCAACAAAAAATGCTGACATCTCTTTGAGTCAAGATTTATGTGAACGCCCAGCTGCTGCATTGCTGGCAGCCGCAAAATCACCTGTGGCTACTGCGGTGGCTGCGGCAGGTGCTAATTGCATGCCAGATACCGCAACGAAACAGCAGCAGCAACAACAACAACAATTACAGCAACAACTTCAAGAGCGCACACATGCCAAGCTGAATAATGCAAATTGCAATAGCAAGCATGCTTCAGAGACAGTCAAACAACTGGAAATGTGCAACAGCGCACATGCCACAGACGATGATGATGTCTTTTATGATGCGCGCAGCGAGGATTCCGGTGGCACGGTGTCGAGTAGCTTGCTGCGCCGCCAAAAAGCAACAGCAGCGACGGCGGCAGCAGCAGCAGCAACAGTCAATAGCGGCAGTGAGCGACGCGGCAAGGTGAGTAATGTAAATGTATGGGTGTGTATATATGTGTTTTATATATATATTTTACATATATATATGTGTGCACTTGTAGGCCATCTTCTTGAATTTGCCCTTACAGCAAAACCGCTGCGCCGCAATGCTTAGCAAAATTTCACTTGAACGCAAATCTTTGCATACCTACAGGCGCCGCCGCACATGTTTGCACTCGACTTCAACGTGCCTTTATTTGCGTGGTTGCGCATAGCTGCCGCATACTCGTCGTCTAACTTAGTCGCTTGTCTAACTTTCATTGCACTCATCTCGTTGTTTTTGTTTTAGCTGTTGTTATGCAGCGGTTTTTTGTTTTATTTTATTATGTGTGTATTCGTTGTTATGCAGCGCAAGTTGTTAGCGCGTTGGTTGTGCAACCAAAGTTCTGCCACTTTGTAAGTTTTCTTCTTTTACTTATACTTTGTTTATTTGCTGAACCCGCATGTGGCGCTGTCTACCTTTGCCTGCTCTCTATTGTTGTTCTTGGCGTTGTCTGGATTTATTTCACTCAAGTCTCATGTCAAGCCATGTCTTTTTCGATTTCCTTCGCATTTTGACATCGAAAACTTTGTCCTACACGCCACGTGTTGAGGCGCGCGCTAACGCCGTATTGTTGGTATTCTAGCCTAGTGCGGTGTGCGCTGTGCGTTGCGCGTTGCATAATAGCTCCGCTACTCCGCCGCCGTACATTTCATTGCATTGCATTGTTGAGATATTTCATTAATGAAACAATTTATATTAAATGAGTTAAAGCCGCAGAAGTCAAGTCAAGCGTCAGCAGCCTGGCAGCCAGGTAACACAATGATACGTCTCCCTGGCGACGTCGACAGCTGTTCGGTTGTGCATGCGGGCATATAGGCCTAAGCAGTTGTGGAATGTTTGGTATGTGTGGCATTTTGTATATCTATCTTTATATGGAGTTGTAGAGGAAGGTTGCAAATTAGTATGAATATGAACGATTTGAACTCAAGAAATGGCTGCAATTGCATAAATGTTTCTAAAAGGCTACGTACAGGGTGCGTGAACTCTTATGGCGCCATCTAAACATTGTGATAGTTAGACATGACCGTTCAAGATCACAAGAAACAACATTGCATAAATAAAATGTACCTGTTTTGAGGTAAAACCAGCCTTAGAACTCAATATTAATGAATGTCCGCTCAGTATGTTTGTATGCCATGCCGTAAAAAATGGTATTACAGATCTTATAAGTCGACAAAATGCTTTGATACCAATACAATTTTGCTTAGGCATTTTTTTCTATTCCCACGCGCTCAGCATGGCGTCTGAAAGAATGAGCTCGTAGGTCTTTAGCCATGGTCTCGCAAGTGTTGAATTGCTTATAACTCTTCTTCTTCCAAACAGCTTCTGCAAATGTCCCGTTTCCATTCTACTGATAGCGGTGCTAGGGTGCTTTTTAATGCCAGCTCATCAGCTTTATAGTTACCAGCAACAAAAGCTCCTTGGCAACGGCCACCCAGAACTCCAGCTTTGACTGCGCCTGTTTCCTTTTTTTTTAGGTTTTTTGGAAAGTCAACTGTACGCTATTAATCTTCGGACCATGCACGAGGCTACATTCTTGTGGAAATCTTCTCTATATCACTCGAGATGTTCAATCTATCTATCTTGTCTATCTCTTATTTTATATGAGTTTTCCAGCATAATCCGTTATCGAGTTAGCTTGACGTAGAGCTTGTTTTTTTTAAATGTTTAGCCACATTTTCTCAGATCCTCTACTAAAACAAGTAGTTATTTTCAGCTGCCAATTGGTACAACTTCTATTAGGGATAGCCAATATTTTTATTTTTATAAATTCGTGACTATAACTTCGATTACCGGACAGACCATTCCTACGATCATATGCTCTTCAAGATGTATGTATGTGACCAAAGCTACTTCACATATGGTGCTATGTGGTTCATGCACTCTACAGCAATTCTAGATTTAGGCATCCAGAATGCTCTAGAACTTCTTTAACAGAAGTACCAGCCAACCTATTCAAGAATTGTTTAATCTCATTCTCGCATATATCGAGCTAATTTTTGATAAGGTTTATGTGAATGAGTGGTCATAGCCGAGCCGCTGAAAGCTGCTTTATTATTTCCTACGCCACGTGCGCATCGCGAGCTGGTCAACTCCAGTACTTCTTTACCGGTGCGTGTATTCCGGTATATTTCATCAAAGATATTTTAGATTAAGATATGGTGAAAGAGGGCGAAGATGTTGAAAACTGTGACAAAAATATTTTATTTATATTGCGGCTTGAAATCGCTGGGAAAACGGGTTCTGATTATCAAAGAAATTTTAGGTTAGGTTAAGGTGAAAGCGGACGAGGATGGTAAAAGCTATGACGAAATTGTATTGTATATTAGTAAAAATATTGAGACTATTTTGGGATATATATTTGAGAATATTTTGGAATTTCTGTTAAGAACTTTTTTTTAGATCTTTCGGAGGAACAACGACAGTGCTTACACTCATAAAAGTCTTCTGAAGTAAAAATCAGAAAGCCCCCCAGTATAATAGCACTCATTATATAATATAAAAGAAATAGCAGAAACAAGAGAAAAAAATAATCCGAAGAAATCTTAAAAACTAAATGACATTTCCACGAAGTTAGCGATTACGTTAAATATGTAAACAAACAAACGGCAAATCACGAATATTTAGCAAACAACAAACGAAAAGTCAGTGAAACTACGTAGAAGTTTCTCTCATAATCTCTGCACGCGGAGTGATGTAGCAAGAATAAACCAATCAAAAGAATGCCTGGCATTATTTGTAGCAATGCGAGGTCGGCAAACTTAAACAAACGCCGCAGGGAAGGTGTTCAGAATGATAAAGGGGGGGTGGGGTTAATAGATAGAAAAGGATGGTGCAAACGAACAGCAGTGACAATGAATTTGAACTGAAAAACCCTGCAGCCATTTACGACACCTGCGAGCGGAGCGGACGGTGTGCAGATAAGTAAGACGCTCAAATCACAGCAGAGACAGTATTCTTCATACAAAACGCCGAGTTCGATGTGCCGGGCTCACTGACAATGGCATTAGCAAGTGTCCTGACGCTTCTATACCCGTCCGCTTCTTAGTTTGATGGCATCAGGTGAGTTCCTCCACTCATCTCTTCCCTTCATCGCCATTTGTGCGGCTGACAATGCCAATGCCCCAGACGTTTTGCATTTCGACAGACTAGAGTCAAAGTAAAAGTTTTTCAATTAATTGAGCAAATTTACTTGATGTCATATTTCGCGGACGAGGACAATGGCACAAACAGATTAGGTGGTAGCTATAACGGTAACAATGCGTAGAACAAAGACATATTCGTAAGGTGAACAAACTATCGGCCATGTTGAGGAAGTAAAGCAAAGATTGCCTTGTAGTTGGTAGTAACACTTAAGACTTCCACAGAATGCAGGTAGAGTTGAGAAAATGTCAGATTTCTGTTGGGAATTGTTGTGCGGGAAATAGCATTTATGAAAGTCTTCGCAATATTAGCTTAGTAATAATAATAAAGCTAATAATAATTTCCTAAGTTGAGTGACTTGGTGAAGGAAGTGTTTGAGCTTTTGTTATGAGGTTTTAGAACCTTTTAGTGCAATGGTAGGCATCTGCAGTATTTCCAAGCACTTTTAAGTGTTATGTGAGCTTTGGGCTCAAAAATATGAATGCAAGGCTTAATCCCATTGAGTCTTTGACAATACCATGAGCTTTATAAACTCAAAAATAAACGTTTAAAAATGATTCCTTGCTAAAAAAAAATGCAGTACACGGCGCGGACTAACTGCCAAGACAATCCGCTGACCTATTCAAGAGGTTAACCAATAAGAAACGGAGGCATTCATCAACAAGCCTTGTACCTTTAGTCAAGTATTCGCGTTCCTTAGAACGTTTGTGTGCATAAACCTAATTTTGCAATGCAGCATTCTTTCAAAAATTTCAAATACTTTAGTTTCATATCAGTCAGTTCAGGACTGATTTTATTTGCAGAAACTTCATACTATAGATACTAATATTTGTGGATCTGTCGTAAAGTATTAAATCTATTTTGGTTGGGTTTATGATGTATATTGAAATCTTAGAACGCCCAGAGGAGCGGACACAGATGTTGAACCAAAGGCTCTGCAGTTTTTTACAATAATATTTGTAGAATGAAAATCCATTTTTGGTGTAAGTGTTGAGCTCGACTCTTAGAAATCTTCAGTAACTGAGTTTCCCTCCGACCACAAATCACAAAAACTGACGCGCCCACTACTAACCATCTGTAGACCTCAAAAACTTGCTCAGAGAGGCACTTTTACTGCATGCATTTCTGAGGCCATCGTGCTGAGATTTTGTTGTTGGCTCAAAACCTATTCCGCTTGCTTTGAGTTCCACAATTAAGCTACCGCGTAGCAATAGTTTATGGTCGGATAGTAAGATTCGGTTATACTAAAGAGCTTGGAGCTCAGGCACAGACTCTCAGATTTCAGACAATTGTCGAATATAATTCAAAAAAAGTAAGTAGGCCAGTCGAAATGACCGTACCGAGAAGTATCTATAGTAAAGATTTGGACGAAGGCTTGAGCTTTGAAATTCACGTCGCCACTGCCGAGTCGAAAAAAAGTTCAAAGTTGGTCAAATTTCTTATCCATACATAAACGTTTACTCCAATTTACGTAATCTTAACTGTTTTTTAATCCAATTCGAACGACTGTACAACACACATTAAAAAGTACCGTTTCTTACAGACAACAACGAGCCCTGAATTCAACCGGGAGCAACATAAAGAAGAAGAAGAAGCAGCAGCGGCAGGAGAAAAGCCATCACATGAACACATAGCCAGCGGCAGCGACATTAAATTGGACATGGACAATGCTGGCGCAGTGCAGTCGGTCGCTGAGAATGACGAGGCCAACGCGACCACAGTACAAACGAAATCCAAGGACACGCTGGCGGCTAACAGTGAGAGCGTCAAAACTGAACGAACGAAAAGCGCAACGAGCGACAACAAGACGACGACGATTATTAGTAGCGGAGCTGCCAAAAGTGCAGCAGCACAAGCTGAAGCAACGAATGTGACAAATGTTGCTGCAGCCGGAGCAACAGGGTACTCGGCGATGGCATTGAACCTGGGCGACGAGGCAAATGCAGAAAATGCGGCAACCTCGGCAACTACAACACTGCCAAGCAGTGAGCAACACAAAGATGTAGGCGGCAGTGGCGCTTTGGAAGGTGGCAGCACTAGCAGCGGTCACCAAACGCGAAGAGAGAAGAAACGACGCGCCGCCAACAGCAGCAGCAGCCGAGAATCATCTGGCAGACAACATAAAGCAGCAACCATTCCGGCAATGACTATAAGTTGTGATACATGTTGCCAGATCGAATGTGAGCAATATCAACAGCAACAACAACAGCAAACACTACTGTACTCACAGTCCAGCCGCCGTCATGAGTCGCGTGCCGAAACCAAAACCAAAACAAGCAAAGCCGAAAGAGCGAACAAAATAAAAGACGAAAAGTGCAGAGAGCGTGCCGAGGCAACAACAAAAGCAAGCGACACAACCAGCACACTGGCGCGTAATGAGCAAGCAACAATTGCGCCAACAACAATAGCGTTGAGTACGAGTACAAGTGTGCCAGCTGGGAAAGAGCGGGCAGACTCGCCGTCGTCGTCGTCGCCGACATGCGCAACAGCTATGTTGACACGCGCGAGAGCAGCTGCCGCCACCGCCGCAGACACACAGCCAACTGTAGTGGAGACGCTGCAGCTGCATGCTATGGCAACAACAACAGTAAATAACACAATTACAACAACTACCACAGACGGCAGTCCGGAAGAAGCAGTTACCACAACGATAATAGTCGAACAAATTGGCGCGCAAAGTGACAACAGCGAGCGCAACATTGAGACGTGCACGCAACATGTTGCTAAGCATGTTGCTAACAGCGCTGAGGCAAATGAACAGACTGTAAACAAGTGTGCACAGCATCAGACACCGGCAGACGAGGAACTCTCGGAAGTTTCCAGCACAACAACAACAACAGCTACAACAACAAACGCAACCATCATCATAACGCCAGCTGAAGCCACAGCAACAACAACAATACCAGAAACAATAGCCGCTTTAGTGGAGACTGTAGACTCTGGCGACGCTACAATGGCTGCCAAACTGTTAACAGCATCAACAGCAGCGCCAGCAACATTAACGACAGCGCCAACGCTAGCAGTGACGTCAACAGCGCCAGCTTGCGAAGCCATCACCGCAACAACTTCGCCTTGCACCAGTGCGGCCAACTCGACGGTCAGTTGTATTTCGGATATCGCAGGTGTCACTACGCCTTCGTACAGGTATGTCGCACGCGCGCGCGTTTCACATTTTCATATTTACAGTTTGTTTTGTCTGTTTTTATATTTGAGAAAAAAAGCGAGCAAGTAAAGTATCTTCGCACAAAAAAAAAATTGCATATTTTCGCACATTTATTATAAGTGGTGTGGTGCGGTGCTATGCCATGCTATATGTATATGAATGTGTGTGTGTGTGGTTTTTTAAGCAAAACGGTGGAGTGCGCTAAAGTGTAGGTGATAATAAATTGGCAGCAAGCGAAATAAGAAATTTTTATATTTTACAAAAAATTTGCTTCGTGCAACAACAACAACAAAAATTAGTTAGAACAACAACAAAAATTTCGTTAGAAATGAAAATGTTTTAGTGCTCGCGCGAAATGTGTCGCAGCAATATATTGTTGCTGTTGTTGTGCTGTTTTTTTTTTGTTGTTGCATGCATTGGCTGTCTTGAGGTTTTGCTTGCAACAACGCCAACGTCGATTTGCAGCCATTAATTGTCGCTGCTTGTTACTGTGTTTTTGTGTGGAAAAATCGTCGTAAAAACGTGTGTACGGTATTTATTGGCGATTTGAGCGGGCAAAGTGTTGTGGCAAGTAATGCAGACACAAACCTCCATATAACATTGTGTGTGACTTTTTGCTGTTGTTTTTGTTTTTTTTTTACTTTTTCTCTTGTTTTTTCGCTCATTCCAAGGCATTGCATTTGCTTGTGGCCGGTTCAGGCTTCGCCTATCTGCACTCAAGCTGACTTCCTTGGTTTACTCGCAATTCGTAGTTCGGACGACACGCAACATGTTCCTCGGTGCTCGTACTTATAGTTGGTGTGGTGACCAGTATAAGCCGATTTGACATTTTACGCACCATCTATGCAAGTGTCGAGCGACAAAAACGTACGCATGTTTTAGCTACCGTTATCGCTGTTTTTGTTTTCGTGGTTATTGTTGTTGTGCAGCTAAATAAGCTCAATGAGGGAGAAGTTTAAGGCCTTGTGCCCGAGTGTCCTTCTGTGGGGATGCACTTACATATATTTATGTCGATGTGTGCGGGTGTGCAATAATTTTTTGCACGTAAATAAATACAAATATTAAAGCGATGTATAAAAAACTAAACACAAAACAAAATATATATGAAAAATTTTAAAATGAAATTTACAAAAAAAAAAAATTTAAATAATAAAAAGTATTAAAATAAGTAAAAAAGCTTTAAAAGTAACCAAATGTGTTAAAAAAATATAATTCATTAGTTGAAATGTTAAATTAAAAGACATATAAAAATATATTTTTTATTTTAATAAACACGAGATAATAATAATAATATCTAAAATAATTGAAATAAAATTTGTTGAAAAATGGATTCAAAAAAATAGAAATCTAAAAAATTAGACAAGAATAAAAATAGTAACAAATGAAACAGGACCAAATTTATTTAATAAATTAAATTCTTATATAAAAAGTAACAAATAGTATATTTGCAGAAAAAAAAAAATTTAAAAAAAATAAATATATCTAATTCAAATTAATTTAATAATTATTTATTACTATCTTTATTGTATTTATTGAACTTTTTCTCAACTAATTTCAATTACAGCAACCTAATTTACTCAGTTAACAAGTCTTCGCTACATTTATTAAGTAATTAGAGAGAAATGGTTAATTTACTTAATTAATTAATTAAATAAATTATTAAAAGTAAAATAAAAATTTCGTAATGTATATTCGAACAAACTAAAATGAATTAACAAATACTAAAGAAAAAATTCAATAAATTATTGGAATATTATAAATTAAACTAAACTAAAATTTTTTAAATTTAAATTTCAATAAAATTAAATTTAAGTAAAACGCTTAATTTACGCTTATTTAAAAAGCACTAAATTGAATTTAAATCTAAATACATTTAAACTAAGTTAATTAGCATTAAATTAAATTAAGTTGAACCAATTTGTTAAAATTGATATTATTTATAACAAAATTAAAAAATTATTTAAAAAAAATTTTATTAATTTAAATAATTTATACTTTAATGAATTAAAAAAAAAATACAAATTTAATTTATTAAAATTAGAAATTTTAGCACAAAAACTATTTATTGAATTAAATACAATTTTTAATTAATCAAATATTTTTTTGATAAACTTTTCATTTTAATATTTAAAAAATTATTTCAACAAATGTTTTGGTTTGCTTAAATTAAATAAATTCATAAATTAATTTTTCTAAATTTAGTATGTTAAATTACTTAAAAATTTGTTTCTTCGCTCAATTTTATTTACTACAATATGTTAATCTGTCACATAAGCTTTACAGAAAAATATTATACCTCATTGAAACAAGCGGAAAAGGTAGATTATTTCTATACTTTTTTATCTTCTTTTTAGTAACTTACATACGCATTGTAATAATTAATAAGGTTTCAAATATGCTTAATTTTGAACTTCGAAGACAAATATTTCGAGTTTGGAGGCTAACTTTCTAAAATGGCGAAATTAATTTTTTACTTATGTCTCAATCTCTCGAAAAACTTTTTCTTGGTCCAATACCCAGAAAGTCGCTTTTATTTTATCAGTTAAAAAAAACCAAATCAAACAAGAGGCAACGCTTATACTCTTTTAATTTTAATTTACGAAAAATTTAAACAGTTGGCAACACTCAAAAAAAAATATATATAAGCAATTGCGGGGCTTAAGAGAGCGTTTAGTGTGATGCCCATATTGCACAACTATATATTGTCTTCACACTTATATTGAATAATTACTTAATTGACTACTTTGAATGAAGCAACTTAATCAAATTAAATTTAAAAGCATATAAATTAAGTCGCTTTATGCGAATTTAAAGTGATAAAATTAAATGAAAGAGGATGATAATGAGTTAAAGAATTAAAATACTTCAATTTTTTCATTAAATTTACTTGACATAAATTACAAATATTTATTAAAATGTTATTAACCTAAATTTAATAAGATTAATTTGAACAAAAATACTTTTAAAATTTTACAAAAAAAAATTATTTAAACAGGTCTAATTATATACATTTTATAAACGAAACCGAACTTTTGTATTCAAAAATTAAATTATAATTTAATTCCACAAGTATAGTTGCCTTTGACTTATTTCATTGAATTACAAATAAATGAAAATATATTTAACTAGTATATATATATATATAAATATAAACTGTTCATAATTAAATTTAATTGAATTAAGTTAAATTTTGGTAATTGAATTAGGCAATTTTAAACAGAATTAAATTGGACTAAGCAAAAAAAATTAGAATAATTAAATTTAAATAGAGTAAAATATTGTTAAATAAAATACACCAAAATACGTCTAGTGAAATATAATTAATTACAAGTTAAATTAAATCAAATTAATTAATTAGTTAAATTAAATTAATTAATGAGTTAAATTAAATGAATTTTGAAAAAAATTACGCAAACTAACAAAACACAAAATAAGATAACATATCATAACATAACAAAACGAAAAATATTTATTAAATTAAACTAAATTATTACATTAAATATATAAAAAATATAAATTTATTAAGTTTAATTGTGCTTTACTTAAGTAAATTTAATTTAAACTTCTTATTTTTATTAAGTTTATAATTAATAATTTAATTAAGTCATTAAATTTGATCATTTAATCAAATTAGTAAACTAATTAAGTTTAATTAAAAACTTATAATTTTGTTTAATGTAATTAATAATTTTAAACCTAATTGAGTTAACGATTTTAAATTAAAATACATAAAATACTTAAAATAAAGTAAAATTAAATTTAAAAATATACATAAAATAAAAAAAGCCTCCTAGCACAACAGAAAATAAAGTAAATTATAGTTCTTACATTACCAATAATATCTAATTGCTCTAAATATAACTAAATTAAATAAATATGAAATTCCGAAAACAAATTCCAAATTAAATTCATCTCGTTAAGCTCCTGCTGCATTCGTTAGATTTTTCTTCCTTCGTTTGTACTGTTCGATATCGTTTTCGTGGAAAGTGCGTATGTGTGTGTTGTCACATATATAACTCAAAAGTCAGCAGCATAAACTGCTCGTACACACATATATATGCAACTGTAATTCAATCGACACCACTCGTGCTATAATATTTACGGTTTTGTTTTTCAGTTATTTTTTTTATATTTTTTTTTATTTTTGTTTTTTTTTTTGTTTTTCATGCACATACAATCAATCAAACATGTCAAAATCTTATTTATTTTTATTTAGTAAAAATATACGGAGCCAATTGTGGAGTGAGTTTAAGTGAATATAACATCTATATATATATATATATATATATATATGAGAGTGCTTGTAGATATATGAGAGTGCTTGTGTGTGGGTGCAGCAAATTGCTTTCGCATAATTACACAATTGTGCGCCGGCGTGTATGTGTGCTAAAGAAGGAAGAAAATAATACAATTACTACTGAAAATTTGGTAAAATTAAAAGAATTACAAAAAACCGTTAAAATAAAGTTAATTAAATAAATCGCCATAGCAGCAAAGAAGCAGTAAAAGCGAAAAGTGTACAACAAATATAAAAAAATAATAAGCAAGAAAAAAAAAATTGAATAAAAAGCAACTACAAACACTTGGAGAGCAGGACAGGAGTTCAGCTGACTGCAAGCGATTTTAAGGAAGTGGAATTTGCGCTTCCGGCACGTACGTAGCTCCTTACATTTTGCACATACAAACATTTTTGTTTCATATTGCATGCACTTATGTGTGTGTGTATGTGTGTTTTTATACAAAACATTCTCTAAGGAAATCGCTGCTGAATGCAGCACCAATGCACAAGCAAATGCATGCACATACAAACACACATGCATGCATATAATAAATGCATACCTTGGCTGAGTGCGTTTATTCACGCGACTGCGGTGTTAATATTAGAACTTTCTTTATATGTGTATACTTCTGCATACATGTACATGTGTATAATTTAATATGTGTGCGTTTGTATGTGTGTGTGCCTTGTTATTTTTACTAT